TACAAATAGTGGTGAACGTCTAGCAATATTTCACTGCCCCTACTAACACACGAAGAAGAATGCCATTCATCAACATCCAATTCCCAAAACCTCAAAGCTAAAATTCATGTATAAGGTAACTTTATCAGTTATCCCTTTGCTACAGACATGAGACTTGGATCGTAATCAATCACATTTGGTGTTCAACCATGGGTAACACACATTAGATGTATAACTATCAACACATAATAGGAACAAATCCCATCTTGACTACATAACCCTCATGCATAGTTCACACCACACCTGATAATGGCTTTTATAACTGCCTGGTTAAGGATCAACGTTTGACCACATCAAAGTATAACACTCCTTACACTTAAGTACCACTATGTATCTCATGTATTAAGGATACAAAGATAGTATCCTTTATCAAGTATTACTCACGAAAGTTATCTATTAGGTAATCTTAATGTGGGTCCGCTCAATACTTGTAACAATCGCGGTTTAGGGGTATGTTCCTTTTATACCCTATTTGCAAATTTCTTTTCATTTTGGTCCCGCCGAGTACATTGGGTGTACTCTATGAGTACGTTGAGCGTACTGGCTCGAAGGTTGGAGACGGAGGCACCCACTTACGTTGGGTGTACATTAAGTAAGGGTAATTCATTTTTAGGGTTTGTACCCTACTTAAGCAACTTATGTTGCCTTGGGTGCATCTTATGGTCAGCCTCCACTTCTCCAAACCTTAAGAACGAAACCCTAATTTCCATTTGTGGGATTTGAGCTTGTAAGTGAGTTTTGGTTGATTTTTTGGTGATTTGAAGGAAGAAGAACACTTAGAGGATGCTTTGGTGTAGCATGAGCTTGTAGATCCAAATTTCTCTCATCATTTCCAACTTTATTGAGGTATAAAGCTTTGAACTTGATCCTTGTTTGTCTACATCTACTTTTTATGAAAATTTGGTCCCATTTTGGTCATATGATGAAATCTAGTGGATTCCTTTCACTCTAAAAGTTAGGAGTTGCTTCTCTTAATGTTTCTGAGGTCCTTAGTCCATAAAGTTAGCATCTTGATGGTTGTGGATCAACCATGCATGTGTTTAGGTCATTATGGTGATAGTAGAATGCTAAAAGTGAGGTTTAGGTCCTTTTTAGCCATGCAAAGGGTCCATGTTCACGACTTTATGGATTAAGACGTCCATTTTGACTAGGATTTGAATTTTGGATGTTGGAATGCAAGTATTAAGCACTTAAGGAAAAAGTGCTTAATAGGCGCGTACGTTTGGCATACTCAAGAGTATGTTGCACATGCATGCCCATGTCCGCGATATGCATGCAACCTAGTATGTTGGGCGTACGTCTAGTACGCACAACTTACTAGGACTAAATGAGGCTTTTGCAACTTTGGGCCATTTTCGAACTTGGGGAGTTGGTCCTTAATGGGTCATCAATTGTTCTGACTTTAAACCATTGTTGGGCATTGGGCCTTCCTGTGTTCGGGCCCATAATGGCTTTTGGGAATCTTTTAGAGCTTTGGGCCATATTGGGCTTTTTGGTGCTATTGGATTTAACCTCGGATTTTGGGCCAAGTTAGTAAGGGGTAAAATGGTCTTTTACCCTGACTACTAGATAGTTAGACTAGGATCCCATTTATAGGGTTGTAACCTAATTATTCATTGGATATTATTTGATGGTGTCAACGTAAGGATTTTTCGGGATCAATAGTCCGAGTTTTTATCTGAGAGATTCAGCAGTTTGAGGTTATTTTTATCAATGTGTTTGGCGGGTCGAAGGCACTAATGTCGGCCCATGGTTTATTATGATTAGGATTCTAACTGTATGCGCGACTCTCGCATGTATGATATTTGATATATATACCGGGCGGGGCCTGATGCTAGGCGGGTCGAAGGCACCAATGTCGGCCCATGGTTTATTATGATTAGGATTCTATCTATATGTGCGACTCTCGCATGTATGATATTTGATATATATATATATATCGGGCGGGGCCTGATGAGTATATTGTATGTTATTTATCTTTATCATTATTGCAAGTGTTTACGTGTATATCGGGTAGGGTCCGATGCCAGACAGGGCCTGATGAATGTGATGAAGCGGGGCCCATCTCTTATTTTTGACATATCTGTTCGGAGCGGGGCCCGATGCCAACGGAGGCCCGTTATATATTTGATATGTATGGTATGTGGTATTTTGGGGGAACCTACTAAGCTTCGTGATTATGGTTTTCAATTTATGTTTCAGTTACTTCCGGATCCAAGGGGAAGAGCTCGGGGTGATCGCCTCGCACACACCCGACCGAGGCGGCGGAATATGCCGAGCTATGCGACTTAGTTCATGGATCACAATCTTATTGAATATACATCGCAAGTTACAACAATAACAACATAGCACTTACATTCCAGTTTAAAGTTTGAATACAAGGTTCATACATATAATAATAGGTTCATAAATTCACCTTAACAAGTAGGCCGACATAAGAAAAACTAAATAAGACTAGATTGCCCAAAAATCCATGAACAAATCTTCTATTAAATGATGGTTCACTGATCTCCTGAGAATACACGTAATTTGAGGGTCAACACAAGGTTGGTGATAGTTACAGGTTTTATGCTAACCGGAATAATGATACTTTATAAGTCTAGAAAGTATTTATTTTGTGGTTAAAATCATGTTTGATAAAGAAAGAAGTCATAAGTAAATTTGTGATTGAAATGTTTGTTAAAGAGATAAACCATAAGTAAATACATACTTAAAATGTTTGATAAATAGATAAACCATAAGTAATCCATACTGAAAATGCTTGATAAAGAGTTAAACCATAAGTAAATTCATACTTAAAATGTTTGGTAAATAGATAAACCATAAGTAATCCATATTGAAAATGCTTGATAAAGAGTTAAAACCATAAGTAAATTCATACTTAAAATGCTTGATAAACTGAGAACCCAGATCCGTGGTTTCTAGTTAAAGAGTCTGGTTAATGCCTATAGTGAGTCCTATAACCGAGTTATATAACTAGTTGTAATCTATGTACAATGCTTCATTGGATGTCGTAGTTATACTAAATATAATTATCAGCCGCTTCGATTGATCAGTCAAGTTTGTAGCTAGCAACCAAAGGTGAGGGTGTGAACCCGTATAGATCTATACATACGTATCTCGCTCTGAGGATTGGCGGTTATAGTTAAATGGGTAATGAATATTGTCTCACTATAGAGGCCATTAATTAGGTTATACGATAAAGTTTCACTAGAAAAGCCGAGTAAGTTCGATAAATTCGTAAAAATGTATGTCATTCGCTTAAATAGATAATATGTTTCTTCACATGCACGAAAGGTTTCCAAGATATAATTGTTATAATTCGTACGTAAATAATTAAAATATATGTTTGTACATGCTCGATATAAAGTGAAAATTAATTATTCACAAGGCTAATAATATTTTTAAACGCATGCATATCGTAAGAAATCGGTTTATAATATATTATTTTGACAATTACAAGTGTTAAAACTAGATATATGTTTTATATATGTATTCCATAACCGATATATAGATTTAGCATGTTTATAAACACATTTCATTACTGGTAAATATACTTATATATTTCACATGTATTCTCCCCCAAAATAATAAAACATTAAAAAGGGGCCGTAACACTCACCCTTGAAGCGTGAACGTTGACTACATTTGTTTTGGTGGAATGCGACGTGAGAAACTGCAAAATTAATCGTTCTTTAAGTTTAAAACGAACCAACGGGTCTATTTATATTACCTAATAAACCAAAAGGGTAATGTTGGTATAAGTTATTATGTATAGGGTGGTCTTTGCTAAAATAAATAAGTTCTAGGGATTGATTTTGTTAAAATCATCCCCAAAGGACTGATATTGTAACCCATTTCCAAGAAAAGGCTGAAAATGTACATTTTAAAACTGGTTTGGACTCCTTGGACTAAGTGTTAAGGTTTCTTGTGGAGGGACTACTTGTGTTTAATCTAAATGAAGTTTGTATTTATTTTGTGAGATATTTCAATGGAGGGGTTTGTTTTAGTTAAATAACATAAAAGAGGTGTTAAACTTATTTAAGTTAAACTAGATGAGGATCTCCGCGTTGCGGGATGGATGTGAACAGAACTATTACAGAAGTGGAGTCCATTCGACTTCATTGTCTTCTTCGCATACCAGAAAAACAATACTGGACACTTGATAGAATTAGTTGTCTATTGATGTTTCTTTCACCTTTTATTTTTCATAATAACAATGGTAACTTCACAAAATGTACTACAATTATTCTAGAATAAAGGTCAAACTGCTTTTATAAGTCGGGTGATAGCGGGCTTGGGCCCATCGGGTCATTTATGTGTGGCTTGGGTGGACATCCCGTTTCTGCTTCCTCTGTTCTTGCTGCAATATTTGTAGTAATTGAGTTAAGACAAATTCCATTAAAGAAGCAAAAGTATGAGAATAAAATAATGATCTACTTACATTTGGCTTTGAATATGAAATTATATAGATTCCGAAAGAATTCCTTGCGCTCTTCCATATTTCCTGCAAAAATATAAATTTGAGTTCACATTAATGCCATTTTGATAAATATATGCCAATAGAAACACACACACACACACACACACACACACACACACATATATATATATATATATATGAACATATTATAAAAACTGAAAAAAGTAATTTCTTTTTGCACTTTTCACAAAATCATGGATGGCAATAACATCAACACCTGTAGAAAAAGACCTGCTGCGACTACCCTAATTAGTGTCTTCGCGGGGATGGATCTAGACAGGTCTCCATAAATCGTGCTTGTTAGGAGAAGACGTTCTACTGTTGCACGCCACATACATCTAAAAAGAAAAGCGAAAGTAAAATGAGAAAACCTAAATTTAAAAAACTATTAATCGAATTCATAAGCGTTGAGATCGTTGAGCCTTTTTGTTCTTCCGATGGATAGGAATGCCATTCGTGGCTTTCTTTACCCTCAATTTCACCTTTTTCTGCAAACAAAGAATTCGATAGTCATAAAATCAAAATATGTAAACTTATATGAAAATTAGAATGGTGACATGATATTCTATTAAACATTTTAGAGTTTAATAGATAAGTCAATGCTTTGAAATAACATGTTGGTTGAGGGAGATCCTTACACTATATATCCCAAGTATTACATCTACCTTCCTGATGGTTATATGGTTTGTGTTATAGTTATGCAGGTTTTCGAAAGCAAATGAAATAAAACCCTAAAACAAAGGAAAAACTGATACATCACAGGAACCAAAAGCGTAATTTACCAAAACTAATGGACTTACAGCAGCTCCCCATCAGAAAGTAGACTACGTATGCTTATTTGTTCATAAAATCTTATGTGTATCCACTTCTGCAAACCATATTCTTGCTTGAGACTAAACATATGAAAAAATAGAAGGATTAGGACATTTAGAAATGTGGTTGGTGTTACATTTGCAAAGAAATCTACATCAATTTTCCATCTAAAAACTGCTACATTTGACCTGTATAATCAAAATAGCAACCTTTCTTACACCAGGTACTCTTCTCCTGCTGAAATGGAAGTACCGAAAGACCTACTGGCCCAAAAAAGATTAAAAAAAACAAAGTAAATCAATATGCAAAAAGGAATCAAGTAAATTTGTACTCAAATTACTAATGCGGAATACAAAAAATAAAAGTATGTGAAATAGAATGTATAAAACTAAAGTAAAGGGAAAAGAGACCTTAGTTTTCCCAGCATTAGTTATGAAACTGCGTGAGTAGGAAGCATGTGTAATTGAGAATGGAGTCGAACTCATCTTACCGGTTTTTTGAGGAATTTCATCAAACACTTGATGTGCATCTTCAAATCTGTCAAGTACGAACAACAAAAACAATCTAATATGCCCCAAATCAGTTTCTTTTTTTAAACAAAATGTTTCCTATTCTTAGCTCCAACTTCATCAAAACATAATAGAGAAAGCTTACCATGATTAGTTTCAATTTCATGAGTTTCTAAATTTTTTTGTAAATATACATGAAATCCACAAACAAAAAACATGTTATTGCAGATGAAATATCACATCAACAACAATCAACAACAGCAGGAGGACAATAATTCAGAAGAAGAAGAAGAAGAAGAAGAGAAAGAGAAACAATTGTACCTGAGGTTGTTGAATTCGAAGGAAAAAAACCTACAAAAGAGGAGTGATAATTGAAACATGAGAGATATTCGATTAAACGTACGCTGAAGAAAAATTTATTAAAATGATTTATTTCATCAATCAAATCCATCGACAAAAGTAATAGAGAAATAGAGATTTACCTTCGGTGGTTAGTGAGAGAAATTAGAGGATATTAGGGTTAGGAACGTCGTTTCTCCGGAAATGGGGGATGCAGTGTCGTCGGCGAAAGATATAACGACCATATTTGGAAAAAAATTAGTGTTAGAAGAGATATAAATGAAGAGAAGCAAATGAAGCTGATGTAGAATGCAATAAAGCCACCCAGCGGAGGCAAAGGAGGCGGATGAGACAAAAGGATCAATGGTTAAAAGAAATCGGCTTTTAAAATGAGTCGGCAAGTCAAGCAACCGAAATTCTGAAGGCAATCAGTTAGGGTTCGACTATGATTGAAAGCATCGAACATACAATTATTCCATCGTCTTCAACCCCGACTTTGGAGAGAATGGGGAAAGCAACAGCGGGTACAGCGAGCTCAAAGCCGTTGGAGGCGGTAGAAAAACTCAGAGGTGGGTGATAGATAGGGTTCTGGAAAGAACGTATCACCTGATCAAATAGCATTAGAAAATAGAATGCGTAGAGAAGAAAAAGTCGAATCGATTCTACCTTCAATCGCTTCTTGTTCTTGCTTTTCCTTCACGGGCACAAAGCTCACCTCTCTATTCTTCTTGCTTTTCCTTCATGGGCCCAAAGCTCACCTCTCGATTCAGTCGAGCGAATCTGTTGAAGCTGGAAAGATTCCACCAAAAGAGGTGCTCTACAGAGAGGTTCGGGAGAGGGAGGTGGTGGAGCTGGTGACCATGGTAGACAGTAACCCGATGAACACCCGGGTGGGTAACAAAAACGGTGAAGTGGCTAATTGAGAGAGAGAGAGAGGCGGTAGTGGTTTTCTCACAAAGCAGAGCAGTGAGACTATCGGGCTGAGGAGCAGGCAAGTGTTACGTATGTGGATTAAAGCCATTCGAGGGCAAAGGCGGTGGAATATATATGTGTCTAGGAAACACATGGACCCATACACGTAAAGAAATGACAAAATGACATAAAATGCCCATACAAAAACCTAAAGAAATGACAAAATGACATAAAATGCCCATACAAAAACCGGCAGTAACAAATACATAAATAAAGGATCCTAAAAAAATCAAAGAGAAGAAGAGCGTAATAGAAGGGGAATTTTGTTGGAAATTTTAACAAAAGACAACTCAAATAGCTAAGATAGCTAAGAGCACACATTTTTAATATATATATATATATGAGAGTTTTTTTTTCTTCACCTCGTTTCTTCCTTTTGTTCACATATACATACATAAGAAGAATATATATATATATATATATATATATATATATATATATATATATATATATATATATATATATATATATATATATATATATATTAGGCGAATGCCCGCGCGTTGTACAGAAATACTTATATAGTTGAAGTCTTTACAAATATATGATTTTTAAATATAACAATAACAATGTTGTTAAATTTGATATAATAATTTGTATATACTAAATTGATATAATATATTGATTATTTTGAATTATATGATAATATATACATTTATTATAACTTTATAATCTCAATCGTTTGAATGACTTCTATTCGCAAGTTACACATGAATAAAATTAAATATAATATATGATTTGATGTTATTTATAGTTGTTTTTATTGTTAATTAATTTTTTAAAATTTATTTGCTTAATGTTTTAATTTCTATCATTATAATTATTTAAAACATCAAACATTGTTTTTTTTTTTATTTTAAAGCTAACAATATAATAATTTATATAGAGTTGTTTTTAACTATTGTTATTGTAAGTTATTTTAAGCTACTTATTTGAAAACTTTTAACGATTATAAAAATATATTTAAGAAATATTTTAGTTAAATTAAGATTACAATTTAGTTTTTGCTTTTATCACTATAATTTATCATTTTTAATTATTTATAAAATATTCTTTAGTTTTTTAAATGAAACTGAAATTTATATTTGAGTTGACATTGTAATGCGTAGAAACACCTACATAGTTGAAGTCTTTACAAATATATATATTTTTAAATATAACACTAATGTTGTTGTTAACTTTGATATAATATATTGATTATTTTGAATTATATGATAATATATACATCTATCATAACATCATAATCTCAATCGTTTGAATGACTTCTACTCGCGAGTTACACATCAATAAAATTAAATATTATATATGGTTTAATATTATTTATAGTTGTTGTTATTTTTAACTAATTTTTTAAAATTTATTTGCTTAATATTTTAATTTCTATCATTATAATTATTTAAAACATCAAACATTATTTTTTGATTTTAAAATAACAATACAATCATTTATATACAGTTATTTTTAACTATTGTTATTATAAGTTATTTTAAGCTACTTATTTGAAATTTTTTAACGATTATATAAATATATTTAAGAAATATTTTAGTTAAACTGATATTACAATTTAGTTTATGCATTTATCACTATAATTTATCACTTTTAACTATTTACAAAATATTATTTGGTTTTTTTAGTGGAACTGAAATTTATATATAAGTTGACACTATAATGTTATATTTAAATTAACAATTTAAGTATTTTGTCCAAACTGTTCAAAAGTTGTAGCTTTAAACTGATAATGGTTTATATGCAACAATATTTTAAATCTAATAAATTAAGTATAATATGGTAAAAGTTAAAGAGTTAACTTTATAAATAGAAGTAAAGATATTATTTTAAAAAGTGAAATTTAATCAATTTATAATTACACTTTAGGTTTGATATTTATTTAACCTTATTAACCGACTTACAATCATTATTAGAAAGACACTGCAATTTATCACTTTTAACTATTTATAAAATAATCTTTTGGTTGTTTAAGTTTAGTAAAATTTATATTTAAGTTGAGCTTATAATGTTATATTTTAATTAATAATTTAAGTATTTTATACAAATTGTTCAAAAATTATACCTTTAAAATGATAATGATTTACATCCAACAATATATTAAAACTAATAAATTAAGTATAATATGTTAAAAGTTAAAAAACATAATTTTATAAGTAGAATTAAAGATATTATTTTAATATTGAAATTTAGTTTCTATATGATTACACTTTAGATTTAATATTTATTTAACCTAATTACTAAATTATAATTATTATGATAAAGAAATTTGAAAAGTCATGGGAGTTTCAAATGAATGTGGTGAAAGGAAAAAAGAATGGGGTTTTCAAATGCATGAGATTCAAGAAAAAATGTTACGTTTATAAGTATGTATGATGCAACATAGGGCTGTTGATGGCTAATTTTTTCGGGTTTTGGGTAATTTGGGTTTTTCATGTTAAAAAAATAATCATTACCCTACCCAAATTAAATTTGGGTAATTCGGGTAGTGAGTTGGGTTTGGGTATTTCGGGTATTACCCGATTTTTTTTTTTTTGAATTTCTCCTGAAAATAAATTTAATAAAATAAATACGTCGTGCTTTATTAGTCTTGTTTATATAAACAAACGAGGCATAAATGAAGTTACTCAAACTTTGAACATTGAGATTTTTTATTCAATAATATTTGAGATATTAGGTAATCTTTTAACAACTTAAACTAATCTAATACGATGTTAAAAAGCAAATAATTGAAGATCTTAGTTTAAAAGTTTAAAATGTTTAAGATAATTGTAGCCATAAGTTTTGTCATGTTCTGAGGTTTCGTCAAGATAATGAGTTTGTTAGTCACAATAAAAATTATAATCTAGAAAAACAATTAAATTTTAAAGAACATGGTGATATATAAACAATTGTTTTTAATATTGTTAGTGTCACACTGCCATAATAAAAAAGATTCATGTTTTACAATAATGATAGTTAGTTTAAGCGTGATCAAATACCTGCTACAGAGTACAAGCTCTACGATTTTTTTAAAAAATAATTCAGGTAATTCGGGTATAACCGAAACCCAACAAACCTACCTATACCCGACCTGAAAAAAAAACCGGGTTACCCGATTACCCGAAAAAAATTACCCGATACCCTAAAATATTGGGCTAGTAATTTGGGTAACGGGTATTTTCAATAGGGCTAATGAAAAAATCATTCAGTAGAGCCTCGATTGATCACGACGAAGGAAACAGAAGAAAAAAAGAATGCAACGGTTGTGGTCAACTTACAGTAGAAGGTGATGGCTGGAGGTGGTTTGGTCGGAATCCACGACGGCAGCAATGGCAGAAGAGGATGCTTTAATAGCCTCTTTTTGCTTCATTCTGCTTCTGTCCGACAAGAATGACGAGAAGATGAAATGATGGGCATTTTTAAGTGTTAGATGGTCGGAGTAGGGGTGTTCCAATGGTCACAGTGGTGGTGGGTGGTGAAGTGGGTTTTACCAATGGTGGGTGGTGACCGAGCTACGGTGTCAGCTTTCCTACCTTTGTTTCCTTTCTTTTCAAGTGAGCTCGACGATAGACAAGGAAGGGAGGAGCAAGGCTATGGTCCGAAGGTGTTTGGGAAGGGTGGTTATTGGTGGTGGGTAATGACACGGGGAGGTGGAGGAGGTGTTAAAAAAGAAGGTGGGTTAAGACGGTGGTGGCAGTTTGCTCCGATCAATATCAAAAGAGGGAAGAACACGGTGGTGTAAGGTGGTGCCTGACAGATTGTGCAACAGAAACAACAAGGGAATGGTGGTGGGGGATCGACCAAGACAGAAGAGGATGGTCGCTGATTGGGTTGTGGTGGTTTATAGCGACAGTCATGGGGGTGAGCAGCCTAGACTGGTGTTATCATCACCGGTGCCTTCTTTCCTTCAATTGGTGACATACAAATTGAATGTGAGGAGAGGAGTAGCACGTGGTTCTTGGTACGTATTTATTTTATTTAATTATTTAAATATCTTGCATTTTGGCCTTGGACTCGACGAGTTGAAGGACCAACTCACCGAGTAGAAGCGGGATGGGACGCGGGAGTTAAGCAGTGGACTTGACGAGTCGGGTCCCCAACTCGACGAGTAGACCCTGTCCGGACAAAAACCCTAATACGAGGGTTTGCACCTTATTTAAACAATGTTATGTCGGCCATAACGTCGCTTATGCTCCCAGAATACCTCTCATTGAAACCCTAGTCGTTATTGAAGCAATCTAAGCCTTGGTGGTGGATTTTGGTGCTTGTGGTCTTAAGAAGGAAGGAGAAAAGCTTGAGGAAGCAAGTAAAGACCAAGGGAACCCGAGTTTGTGCACCTTCTACAGTTCATTGAAGGTAAAAGCTATAACCTTGCTCTTTCATTTGTTAGATCCCTTTTTGGGGAGATTTAGGGCTTTTATAAGCCATTTTTGATGGCCAACCATGATTGCAAACATGGTTGGGGGTTGGAGCTTCTGAATCACGTCGTTAAGGGAGTCACAAGGCAGTTGGGGGCTGCTTTTGCACCCATGAAAGGTCTCATGCATCATAAGAGCTTGTTTTATGTATTTTTGAGCTCCAAGTCCCACGCAAGCACGTAAAGTTTGTAACTTTACGTGCTAGATCGATGGTGGAAGCTTGGATCTATCTTTTGATCAAAGGTTGTACATAAAAAATCGAGGATTTAGAGTGTGGATGTGACCGACTCGGCGAGTCCGTTCCTGGGACTCGACGAGTCCAAGGCTTTGAGTCCCATATCTGTTGAGGGTCAAAAGAACAAGTTGAGTGTTAGAAGGGTTCTAACCGGACAGAAAGAGTGACCCAACGCATTGGATGTAATTTTAGACCTAGAGTTCCTGGGACTCGACGAGTGCTAGAACGGACTCGGCGAGTCCAATGCAATCTCCTTAAGATTGAAGATGAACTCGACGAGTTGTTCATACAACTTAGCGAGTCGAGGACAGGACTTGTTCATCAGATGAAGGTGGAATCAATGAGTGTTCATACAACTCGGCGAGTCGGATGAGTTTCATGCGATGTTCATACAAGAGAGGGACTCATCGATTCTATGCTAAACTCGACGAGTCGAGGCGTGGATAAGGACGAGTAAAGCGTGAGGGACTCGGCGAGTCGGGTCAACTTGAAGTTGACTTTGACTGGACTTGGACTAACCCTGTTTAGGGTTGCACGTGTTGTGTGTTGACTTGAAGGTTGTCGTGTAGGGATCGAGGAGTCGAAGGGAGTCAACTTGTGCACCGAGGATAATTCAAGAATTGCACGACATTGAGGTGAGTTACCTTCCAGTAGGGGTGGATCTAAGGACACAATGTCGACCCACAAAAAAGGCGTATTTAGAAGATAATGGTCTTTGTGATAATTATCTTGGTCTGGTTATGTGTTTTGGACATGAGATTTATCTGTATGATATGTTATGTGTATAGTAGGGATTCGTATCCCTGACAGTGGTCCTTAGGACCAAAGGGTAGGTCAGTACCCGGATATGCCTGACTGTATGCTTATATCTGTTGTTGTATGCTAGTGGTAGGGGTGAAATAGTCCCCAGTTATTGGTTGAAAGATACCGATGATGGTTACCGGTTGAAAAATACCGATGACGGTTACCGGTTGAAAGATACCGATGAAGGTTACCGGTTGAAAGATACCGACAATAGTGTATGGTATGTGGTATGATGGGGGAACTCACTAAGCTTTGTGCTTACAATTTTGGTTTTGGTTTCAGGTACCTCTTCGTCAAAGGGGAAGGAGCCGGTGGTGTAGCAGCGCATCACACACACACATGGTTTCCACATTGAGTTTCTGGGACTGTACTCTGATTTTCATTACTTTTGATGTTATGGTTTGAGACACAACATTATGATTTTGTAATGTGATGTTGTATCGACAATGTTTTGGTAATATATATTATGATTTACTTAATTTAAAAACAAAATTTTTGGCCTTGAAAAATTGGGTCGTTACAAGTTGGTATCAGAGCCCTGGTTTGAGGGATTCGGACACACCCTTGGGGGTGTCCGGACTCAAACCGAGGGACTAAAAGATTTTTACAAGGAAAATGGTTTTCTAAAATCTAAATCGAGGAGTTTTAAGAAAAACAAGGTGTGTGATGCATGCGACCGACCAGAGCTCAAGTAAGTTTTTCCCAAGATACCCATACCTGTTATGTTATGTGTACGATTCTTCATTCTGAGAACTACATGCTAGATTAGGGTTAGGGATCTAGAAGGATGCCTTGTATGCCTAATGTATGATTATGAGAACTGCATGCTAGAGTAGGGATAAGGATCTAGAGGATGCCTTGAATGCCTATTGTATGAGTTGTATGCTAGGACTGTTTAGTCAGCAGTAGGATAGCCTAATTAGGTTATGCCTGATGTGGTTACTCGATGCACGAATGCTGCATTCTTTGTGCTTAAGGGGTCATGGCTAACTTTAACTAACTAGTGAGAAGATATGTAACAGTACTCGCGAGCTAGTTAGGGAAGGGAAGTAGGGACTCCTAGTGCAGCTGATGGCGGAGAATAGGTCGGGGAGTGACCTAGGAAAGCCTAGGATGAGATTAGTAGGAAAGGGTATCGGTAAAGGGACTTGGTGAAGTTGGAGCAATCCTTGAGGAAAGTACGGATAGATGTGGAAGGTAGTATGGGCCCGTACTACTGAAAGCAGAGGATCCGTACTCGAGTCAAGGAGGGCTGAGATGAAACCAGGGGACTTGGAGAGTGTGTGAGGCTTCTCGCGAGTATGTATGATCTTGATGTTGTATGTTTATTTTCAGTATGGTGACCATGCGACATGGAGCGGGAGGCTCTGGGTTAGGATCAGGATCAGGATCAGGCTCGGGTGAAGGATTCGATCAGGTGGATGGTGGACTACGCGAGTTCATCACGTCCGAGGTCACGAGGGATATCCTTGAGTCGACCCCGGTCATCTTCGGTTCAATCAAGGAAGGGATCATCGAGCTGATGGAGGATCATCTCCGATCATTCTGGAGTGATTTGGTGTCTAGCCAGGTGAGTACGCGCACACTGTCCTTTAAGGACTTCAGAGGGAGTGGTGCACTGGATTTCCATGGGGTGAACGACCCCATTGTTTCTAAGAGATGGATCACATATATTGAATCTGCGCAGCCGACGAGCTTCTACCCGGAAGGGTCGAAGGTTCGTTTCGCTGCGGGGTGTTTGAGGGATCGAGCTAGAGATTGGTGGGAGTTGATTGGTGATACGTTGGGAGCCCCAACCATTGAGGCTATGACGTGGTAAGATTTTGTGACCCGATTCAGGGTCGAGTTTGCACCAGTTGTGGAGCTCCAGCAGATGGCCAGGGAGTTCTTGGATATGAGACAGACAACGGAGACTATGGCGGAGATCACTGCTGAGTTCCGGGAGAGGGCTTTGTTGGTGCCCCAATATGCGGGTGATGAAGACATGAGGAGGACTCGCTACCATGACATGGTATGAGCCGATATAAGGGAGCATGTCAGTTTTTCAGCTTGTCCCACCCTAGAATCCATGATTTCCAGGGCAAGGGAGAGGGAGATTGATCAGGAGCACATATGGAAGAGGAAGGTAGAGGAGGCACAGACGAAAGGGGCTTCAGGGAAGAAGCCTAAGGGATCCGATGTTAGGCCGAAAGGCGAGTCAGGGCGGGACCACTGTGGGAAATGCGGTCGGTCAAATGAGGGGGTTTGCCGCACTGGGTCGGGTTCCGATTGCTATAACTGTGGAAAGATTGGGCATTTTGGTAGAGATTGTATTGCCCCTACTCTTGCGATTCAGACATCAGACCTGATTTGCTTTCATTGCAATCAGAGGGGCCATAAAAAGGCCAATTGCCCCAGATTGATAGCAGCAGCGGCGCCGGCAGTGGCGCCAACATCGGCGACTGCGCGGGTTACGGATGGCCGGAAGGTCAAGACGGAGGCTCCAGTGGTATGGAGCCGAGCATTTCAGTTGACAGCCGAGGAGGCACGCGCTGCACCCAATGTGGTGACAAATATGATTTGTCCTCTCAGATCTTTTACGTTATGCTGTCATGATATGTTATATGTATGTGTTATGTTTAGGATTGCTCCATGTGAACGGTATCCCAGTTCAGGTATTGTTCGATTCGGGTGCTACCCGATCGTTTGTCTCTCTTGTGCTTAGCAAGAAGTTTCCTGAGTCTTCGGGCATGTTGTATTGCCCCCTTGAGGTCTAGTGGCGGAGCTTCGATCTTTCATTTGGGGGGGGGGGTGCAAAAATATAATTTGTATAAAAATTGGTGAACAAGGGGGGCCATAGTCAAAATTTTATATTTTTGGGCCTAATATGTATAAATCTTAAAGTATAAGGACTATTTCCGCCAAAAAAATCAG